AGTTCAGTCGGCCGCCATCTTGTTTTGCTGTGGTTTGAGATGAGTTCAGTTAACCGCCATCTTGCCCTGATGTTTCTGTTTATTCCATTGTTTGTTCGCTCATGAAAGTCTTCCCAAGTCTCCCTACCTTCTTTACCCTTGTTGTTGCTTTGGATAGAAATTGAGATTCTTCCCTGTACTTGGTTCTTCCTTTGTGGAGAGTGAGGCTGAATTCTTGACTCTTGGCAGGGATTATAGTTCTCATTAAAGGCTTTTCAGGATTCTAGAGGTGAGTCATCCAGCACAATGGCTTCCAAAAACCACCATATTTGTGGGTCCTCACCAGCCTTTGAAATACCTCTTCCACTCGGTCTCTGCTCTAGATATCCTCCATAAAAATGGCAGATGCCTTTGGGGAACTTGTGGCTGTCAGAGTAGGCCTCTCTTGAGGTGGACCATCAGGGGTCCTTGAATCCAAGCCAACAACAGTCATTCCTGTTGTTTTCTCTTTCACGGAATCTTAGGTGATTGTAACATGTCCAAGAGAGACTCTTATTGATGGAGCACATCGGAGGTGCCTAAGTGTGTCATTTCTCTGCTCAAGAAGGGTCAGTGGCTTCCTGTTGCCTGTAGGATAGAATACAGACATCTCTGAAGTCTTTCACAGCCTGGTTCCAGCCCCTCCTTGCAGGCTGATCACACCTTCCTTCCTCTCACACATTCTAGCCAAACTGACCATGTGCTGTGCCCCATGGATAACAGTTCCTCTCCAGCCTCCTGTCCCTTTGTGCTGGTTGCCTCCTGTGCATGCCTTTCATGGTTAGCCTTTATCTGGCACTCCACAATTTGCAAAGTGCTTTTTTTTTTTTGTGACGCAATTGGGGTTAAGTGACTTGTGCAGAGTCACACAGCTAGTGAGTATTATGTGTCTGAGGCCGGATTTGAACTCAGGTCCTCCTGACTCCAGGGCCAGTGCTCTATCCACAGCACCACCTAGCTGCCCTTGCAAAGTGCTTTTCACATAGTATCTGATTTAATCCTCCACAAGCCTGGGGGAGGCCACCGTCTTGCCCAGGGTCCTGTTGCTAGAAAGTTTCAAAGGCAGATTTCCACTCAGTTTGTTCTGCCTCCAAGTCTGTTGGCTGCCTCTTCTGCAGCCCGTGACTCCCTTTCAGGCTCAGCTCATCTTTCTTCTCCCCCTGTTGTGTATCCAGGCTGGCCCCTCCAGGGCTGAGCTGCCTTCCCTCCTCATTCCCACCTGCTCAACTCAAGTCAGCAAGCGTTTATTAAGCACCTGCTATGTTCCAGGCACTGTGCCTTAGATACAAGAAAAACAAAAACCAATACCTGCCCTCAAGGAGCTTACAATTGAATGGGGTAGACAGGCATGCAGCGGCTATGTACAAATAAGAATTGGTCCAAGCATTTGGGGAAGTGATTTGGAATTAAGCTCAGAAAGTGATGAAAATGTCACTGCTCTTTGGCCTCGAGACTTGCCACGATGCATGCACTTCCAACGAGGTCAGGGATAGAGAGAAGGGTCCCGTGTGCACCAGAACTTTCTGCGATAGAAAAGGATTGGAAACCAAGCAGATGCCCATCATTTGGGGAATGGCTGAACACCCTGTGGTATGTAAATGAAATGGAATATGACTGGACTGTAAGAAATAGTGGGGCCGCTAGGTGGCGCTATAGTGGACAGAGCACAGGGCCTGGAGTCAGGCAGATTCATCTTCCTGAGTTCCAACCTTACCTCAGACACTTACTAGCTGTGTGACCCTGGGCAAGTCACTTCACCCTGTTGGCCTCAGTTTCCTCATCTGTAAAATGAGCTCGAGAAGGAAATGGCCAGCCACTCCAGTCTCTCTGCCAAGAAAACCCCAAATGGGGTCATGACTGAAATGACTGAACAACAAAGGAATGGTGGGTAGGAAGACTGAAGAGATGCATGAGAATATTTAGATGAGCTTCATCCTGCTTTGAAACATTCCTTGTTCTGTTCGTCCTTTTCTCTCCACTCCCCCAGCCCCCCCTGCCCCCAGCTCTGGCCCTCCTCGCCTCTCACCTCTTCCCTTCCTAATGGCGTAGCCTTCCCGAGGTCTCCCTGCCTCGAGCCTCTCCTCCCTCCAGTGCACCCTGGCCAAAGCTGCCAATGGGATTTTCCTGAAGTATGGCTCTCACCGTCTCCCCCCTGCTCACAAAGCTTGCTGTGACCTCCAGGATCTTTTCTTCCAGCCCCGACTCAGGGGCCCCCTCCTCTCTCAAGCTGTCCCAGATTTCCCAGCTCGAGGCTTGTCTCCCTCCCCAGATTTTCCTCGAGTGCTCTGTCTGCATTTCCTTTGATTAAGAGGTACCAGGGACCCCAGAGGCCCTCTAGTTCAGCCCTGTCATTTTGCAGATGAGGAAACTGAGGCCCAGGGGTGAATGGCTTGTGGTGGTCACAGAAGCAACATCGTCTCCCCATTAGCTCCTTGAGAGCAGGGGCTGGGTTGTTTTTTTATCTCTGTTGCCCCAGCACCTAGACCAGGGTCTTGGACGTGACAAGTGCTTAGTAGATATTTGTTGATGAACTTTTCCAGGAATTTAATCTTTAAAAAATTTGCTCCAAGAAGTCATCTGTTGGGTTGGGATGAGTTTGCATTTTTCTATTTCTTCCGTGCTCTGCATTCCTGTGGGGTGTGTGCGTGCCTGTGTGGAGTTTTGCCTTTAATCAGCAATACCTTTGCTGTTTAAAGGCAAAAATCCTTTCAAAATGTTGGTCAGAAAGGTTAAGGAAACGCATTTAACCTTTGTAAAAGTTCTGAAACTCAGGGAGATGGGAAAGAGCGTAAGTGTGTGGTCGTTAGCAGCCAATAAAACCCTGCAGATGTTCCAGACGAGAAATGCAGGACCGGCTGCATTTCCCCATTCATTTTTCTGATGCCAAATCACTTTGGCGTCTTTTGATTGATTTCAAATGGCGTGGCTTTTTACCGCTCTGAGGCCTCCCCTGCAGAGGGGCCGCATGAAATACAGTGCAGGTAGGGTGACTTTTAATCAATACAATGACAATATTATCTTGTTTAATTTGTACTATGGCCGCATTAAACATCAGATCAAGCTGTTTATTATGTCAGCGAAGATGAAGTGGAGTCTGAATAAAATGTGCCTGACATCCATCTTGTGTGTATTTCATTGCCATGACAGACCATCATGATTGGAGATGATATTGTGAGCGACGTCGGAGGGGCCCAGCGCTGTGGGATAAGGGCGCTGCAGGTGCGCACAGGAAAGTTCAGGTCAGTCTCTTTTATTGCATTCCTTCTCTCTTGAGCCGGGGGCATGCTTACGGGTTACTCAGCCTCCCATAGAAATGTCTTCTGGGGGCCCAGCAGCTCCCCTAAATCACCCAGACCGGATGGGGAAGCATAGGCGCTTAGCTGATTGGGTTTCAAAGACTGGGCGGTGCCAGAAGAAATGATAACAAATGAGTCTTTCTGTGGTCATGCAAAGTGAGGCCAGTTTAGGGAGGGAGCCCTCCAGCCTGTCAAGGTGAATCCTCTGTTCTGTGGACAATGGTCTGATATATTTGATAGTATTTGTTGGGTGTGGAAGGATGACACTCATGGCCTTTGTGGGTGGAGCACAAACCAAAGCTCCGGTTCGTGGCCCTTGAAGAAGATGGTGGCTCGTCGTTAGGGTGGGCGTCTGCCATAGTATGTGTAGTTCAAAGGAACTGACGTGGGGCTGTGGTCATGACGTGATGTCGGAGGCTACAACGTGGGATGTGCCATACGCACCTGCGCTCCCCTGGGCTGGCACGGGGAGCAGGTTCCGTTCTGCCTGTGAGACTTTGCCTAGGAGGGTTTAGACACTGGAGTCAGAGGACCTGGGTTCAGATCCTGTTCTGCTGGTTCTTACTAACTCTGTGACCTTGGCTTGGGCAAGTCACTTCCCCTTTTAGGGCCTGTTTCCTCAGCTGTAACATGAAGGTCCTGGACTCAGTGACCTGAGATCCCTTCTAATTCTGAAGGTCCTCTGCAGCTAGAGCTGCTCTTTCCTGTTGCTAGACATGGCCACCCAGGGAATGACTGTAGGGGGTCACCCAGAGGGATGTGGATTGGTCAGTCAGCTCAAGCATTTGAGGTGCCCCTTTGTGCCAGGCACTGTGCCAAGCATTGTGGATACAAAGAAAGGCAAAAGGCGGTCTCTGTTCTCAAGGGACTCCCACAGAAACCATGAGGTGGCTAGACGCTCAGCAGGTTCTCTGGAGACATGTAGAGTCTCCCTTTTATAGAAAGTTTATTCATTTGGAACACCTCCTCTACAGAGCAAAGTGAGGGTGGTAGTGCTGAAATTGGATAGGAAATCACCCTTCCCCCATTCCTCCTACCCCGCCACATACTTATTCCCAGTATTGCTCCTAATCCTGAGGTCCAGGTGGCCTTGCCCCAGGAGGGAGAGCGGCTTCCAGAGGACAGGCCTCCTGACGGTCAGGCCGCCTCCACCCTCTGGGCACATGAACATCTTTGTAGACTTCTTCCTCTGTGCACACCGGAGGCCCTTGCTCCGGAGGGCTGGCATGAAGAATGTGATTCCCCAGCTGCCTTGAGTCTACGCATGGCATGACAGAGGAGATGCTTTTTGAACAACCAAAGAGGCCAAAGGGAAGGAGGCATCAGTACAGTAGGTGTGGAAGACTGCCTTAGGAGGCACCCAAGACCCTGAATGCTAGGGAGCTGTCCAGGGTGCTAGAGAGCGCACCATTGCCCTGAGTCTAAAGCCTTTTTAAAAATCTCATCTGAAATGGCCAGCCTTTGCGGGCCTTCAGCCTATCCCTGAAGCCAGGTAGCAGTGCCAGTCCCATGTAGTGTCTAGCTTCACCTCGCTTCTGTGCTGACGTGCCCCCGTCCTGGGCCTGGTCTGGCTTTAGCTGTCGCCTGGGCTATCCAGGTCCAGTCCTCTGCCCCATCTCCTCCTTCACTGATGGTTACAAGAAGTGATCGTTTTTTAGGAGGGGGGTAAATGCTGAGACAGTCTGATGGGGTGGGGGAGTAAAGGGTTTCCTTGATGGATGAGGGAAGAAAGGTAAGTTAAGGCATCTGCCACCAAGGCTGTTCAGTCTTCAGTAACACACCGTACACGGTCTCATGTTGGTGTGGCCAAGCCTTGGCCATGTTTCCTATTACAAGTGGCTCTCATCAGCGCAGAGTTGGTGAGACATAATGGTTTTACCTGGAGGAGAAGCAGTGACCAAGGACAGGGGGATTCTCTGTAGAGGGAAGGGATTGGGGCTGGGCCTGTGAATGAACGAGTGAGTAGAGACACGGACGTCTCCCTCATAGCATGAGTGTGTGGTTGTTAGCAGCCTGAGTGTGGGGCTGTTGTCACATCTGGCTTCTGAAAGTTTGGCTTTGGAATTCAGGGAGGAGTAGAATGGAAAGGCTTGGGGAGCCTGCGAAAGCACGACTCTTCTAAGTCTTTTCCGTTCTTTTTCATGGCAGATGCCAACTCTGCACTTTCCTGGCCAGACCATGCCCGGGGCTGTTAGGAGCCCCAGTCCCGGCCCTGGTGCAGAATCCAAGGTCTGAGGTCTGGCCACACCATTCAACCCGTGTGGGAAGGGAAGGCTTTTCTCAAGCTTCCCGTGGAAGTAAACGGCAGTTTATAGGATTTCCATTTCTGGCTTGCTTTTTAAAAGAACGAGCAGCAGCCTAATTCAGTCGGCGTGGGGGCACACTGGGCTCCCTTTTGGAGGGGAGGCTGAGGCCGCTGTATTCCGTGAGTTCAGGAGTTCTGCGCCGCAGCACTGAGCTGGTCAGGGGTCTCTACAAAGTTCAGCACGACTGTGGCGAGCAGAGGGCACAAGGTCACCTGTGGCGGGTGGGAAAATGGAAAAAGCTTTTGTGTTATCAGAAGTGGCCACTTCTTTCCAGCCTGGGTGAGAAAGGAAGACTCAGTCTCCCCAGACAAAGTAAAGAAAGAATGACTGGTGATCCAGGAAGATCACTGGTCCCATGGAGGCAGGGAATCTAGTGATCTACAAGCATTTATGAAGGTCCTACAGGATGCAAGATACCCTGGGCAAGTCACTTCACCCTGCTTGCCTCAGTTTCCTCATCTGTAAAATAACCTGGAGAAGGAAATGGCAAACCACTCCAGTGTCTTTGCCAAGACCCCAAATGGGGTCAGAGTCAGATACCACTGAACAACAACAGATTCCTTGTGTCTTTTGAGGTAGTGTTATTGTCTTCATTTTGCAGGTGAGAAAAACTGAGGCTAAGCAATACAGTCATGGACCCACAGCTGGTGTCGTAGCTGGGATTCAGTCTTAGGACTCCCAACAGCGAGAACAGGGCTTTCTCCAGTGCCATCCTGGTGTGCCAAGAACAGCAGATGAACCCTGTAGTGGGGCAGGGGCTGAGAAGAAGGGAGGAAGGCAGAGCAGGGCTGAAAAACCCCCAGGCTGTGTGTGTGTGGGGGGGGGGGGTGGTTGTGTGTGTGTGGGGGGGGGGGTATGGTTGTGTGTGTGTGTGTGTGTGGGTATGGTTGTGTGTGTGTGTGTGACTGTGTGTATATGTGTGAGTATGGTTTTGTCTGTGTGTGTGAGTATGGTTGTGTGTGTGTATGAGTGTGTGTGTGTGAGTGTGTGTGTATGGGCGAATGTAAGTGTGTGGGGGTGGGTAGGTATGTGTGAGTATGGTTGTGTGTGAGTGTATGTGTGTGTCTATATGTAGGAGGG